GAACTCTACTTCCTCATCTTAATATAGCAGATAAGTCAATTTATTTTGTCTTTTACGCATTCCAACTAATTAATAATTATGCAGGATTTATGTATTATTAATTATAGAGAATGTAAAATGGCCTACCATTATATTTAAGTAGCCTAGAAAAAAAAAAAAACAATATTGAAAAATGTCAACAAAACTTTAAATAGTAAACAGTTTATTTAAAATGTAGGCAATCATGCTTGATAAAAGGATGATAAAAATAAAATGCTAATAAAAATAATATATATAGATATAGTTATTTCAAATGTTTTGACAGGAAGCATTTAGTTTTTTTCTTTACTTTGTATTTTACAATTGCTACAGAAATCTCAGCATTATCTTAGTACGTCTGACATTTTCATAGATACGTTCTCTTTCACAGACGTTTATAGTAAATGGACACCGGCGAAGAATAACTGATTTATAGATTAGATATAAAACTATGCCTGTATATAGAAATGCCAATGAACCCGGCATTGCAATAAAAACAGGAATTTATACTGTGTCTTTATCTTATCGTTAAAGTATAAGTATGAATAAAGCTACAGCAATACAATGTATGTTAGTCAATATACTTCAACCTTGCAGAGCGATTCTTTTTAGGTTTTGTTTTACATCTTAACTACCGGTATGTCTTATTTATTTTCTTGTTTACTTTTAATCACACTTTATTGTTATTAAGCCTGAGTAACTTAATGAACTCTTACAATTACTTCATCTGAATGATGCTATTTCTTTTCCCCCCAATTAAGTCTAGTTTTGTTTATTCCCAGAGTCTTCTCCTGTGAGGCCTTTAACCCCTTAAGGACCAAACTTCTGGAATAAAAGGGAATCGTGACCTATCACACATGAGATATGTCCTTAAGGGGTTAAAGTTGATCACTTTTGTCCAAACGAATATTACATTTATTTTAGTTTTAAGCCTCTAGTAGCTGTCTGTATGACATCCACCAGGGACGTAGGCATTGCAATATATGAACAATATATTTTCAACTGACCAAGCATTAAAACAAAGTGAATTTGGTATTTAGATTGGCATTTTAACTTTAAAATAACATTTTTATAACTTCTTTTTACAGTTTAAGGAAACCTTGAAAAATAATCCAAATCCCAATATTGAAAGACGTGCTTTTTTGTATGTCCATCCTTTGCTCGGTACTGAAGAATCCAGCTTTTACAAACGTCTCCTGACACAGCTTAGATATACAGTGCTTCCAGCAGATGCTGCACCTGGCAAACGGGAACAACTAATTCGTGGTAAGAACAAACATAATAAAAACAAAAAAAAACAATATCTCACACTTGTGTAGAGTTTGCCTGTCAATATCTCATGGTCTGCATGGGTACCCCATGTTATACGTATGAAAAATGTAGAGGCTACTTCAGCAGCATTCTAATTGTATTTGAAGGAATTCTTCTGGGTTACATGTTATGTTATTATGTTAATATTATTTATATAACGCCAACAAATTCCGCAGCGCTTTACAATGGGTGGACGAACAAACATGTAGTTTTAACCAGACAAGTTGGACACACAGGAAAAGAGGGGTTGAGGGCCCTGCTCAATGAGCTTACATGCTAGAGGGAGTGGGGTAAAATGACACAAAAGGTAAGGATAGTATTAGACTAGTGACAGAAGAGGAATCAGTCGGGAGCTATTAACAGGTTAATTGATGTTAAATAGAGTTGATATTTGGTGTATTTTGAAAAATTGCACACACCTTCATATCACTTCTGGTGCATATGTACTCCTGTGTTTCTGAGATCCCTCCATATGTATCTATATTTCACTTAAAGAAGCACTATAGTGCCAGGAAAACAATCTAATTTTCCTGGCACTAAAGGGTCATTAGGTCCCCCCCCCCCCCAACCTTAGGGCACCCCCTTCCGCTGGGCTGAATGAGTTAAAACCCCTTCAACCACTTACCTTTCTCCAGCGCCGGGCTCCCTCTGTGCTGGGGAACTCTCCACCCCCTGCCGTCATCAGATCCGAATGCGCATGCGCGTCAAGAGCCGCGCGCGCATTCAAACAGCCCATATGAAAGCATTACTCAATGCTTTCCTATGGACGTCCAGTAAGAATCGCTGAAGCGTCTCTAGCGGCTGTCAGGGAGACAGCCACGAGAGGCTGGATTAACCCTCAGTGAAACATAGCAGTTTCTCTGAAACTGCTATGTTTTCAGCTGCAGGGTTAAAACGAGAGGGACCTGGAACCCAGACCACTTCATTGAGCTGAAGTGTTCTGGGTGCCAATAGTGGTCCTTTAATTTTACCATGACACTCTGAGCGCATGTGCACATTGTGCATATAATTAATTTCTCATGGTTACTCCAGAACAGTCTTGTTTTTTTTATGTAAATTAAAAGAATGAAGCATTAGTTAAAGTAAAAATATTAACTGCACTAACAGATAACTAAGAATTATCACTTAGCTAGTGGGCTATGCTGTTATCATACTTGTGATAAGATCTCTGTAAGAATAATATTTTGCTGTTTCATTTAGAAGGATATGAACATAGATGTATATATATGATGGTGTCTTTAGATACAGGAAATACATTGTTCAGTGTCAGATGATTCAGGAACATATGCACTTTAGTTGACCCATAGCTCTTCTAGAGCTACATCTTCCAGTATGCTTTGCCCACCCTAGTGTGGAACTGTCAGTAAGGACATTGTTGCACAACCCAGTAGTTACAAAATTAAGTTAAGCAAGATTCTCAGTAGTTTTTATTTTTTGGTAATATTATATACCGGGTCCAACAAGGACTTACAATGCAGTGCTACTACAATACAATGCATGAGTTCACATTGAGCATGTGCGAGGGTACAGCACGGACGTCGGCTCCTGGCAGATAGTGCGCTAGGAGTTGAAGTGGACCTCGCGGAAGAAGATTTTGGTGACCACAAGGGACAGGTTCAAGTAAGTAAAAACTACCTTTCCCTGTAACCCGCAGTCAAAGGGAATAAGGGAATAAAAATGGAGACTCACCTTCTGAGGTCTTTGCAAAATATGCAAAGAGACCCCAGAAGGAGACAGTGCTGCTGTATAGCCATTAGAAGAGGGAGAATCATTGAGCAATATCTTCCCCTGTCAGTTAACAGCTGGACTAATTATTGTTAAGGTCATGATTAGTTATAAGTAATTTTTAATATTTTATTCAATCACGTAAATCCCAGAAAAGTCACAGTGCCCTCTATGTTGATCAACTATTTCCCATAAATGGCTAATGTGCAAATATTGTGTGAAGTAGACTTGAAACCAGCTGCTCTTTAAAGGAAATCTGTCATAAGTTGGTAAAAAAAAAAAGGGTTACTCCAACAAATTCCGAGCATGCCCATCTCCCTGGCATCTTTTGTTGCCCGGGAGATGTGACGTGTATTGGTTTGGAGGTCGCAGCCTGCCGATTGTCATCATGCATGCATGTGCTTGGGCGACCATGACTTGGAGGTGCTGGTGGGGCAGCCAGAGAACAGAGGTAAGTTGTGACACTCTGCCTGCAAGGGGAAGATTAACATGTCTATCACCAGTGAATTGTGGAGACAGACGATAGATGCCAAGTGTAGACCAAATTAACATTAATAGTCTGGTACAGAGTTCTGGGCTGCCTAAATCATGTGTGCTAGAGGCGCAAGTAGACCCTAGCACACAATTAGCAATAACTCCGTATATGCAGTGTTTCAATTAGAAATGCTGCAGATAGAAACTCCTACCACCATGACAACTTCATAGAGACAAATAGTATTTTTATTGTAACATTTTTTAAATATAAATGGGACACTATAGTCACCAAAAAAAACTTTAGCTTAATGAAGCAGTTTTGGTGTGTACATCATATCCCTGCAGTCTTCCTGCTCAATACTCATTGATAAGTTAAATCACTTTGTCTCTGTTTATGCAGACCTAGCCACACCTCCCTGCATGTGACTTGAACAGTCTTCTTACACACTTCCTGGAAAGAGTCATCTAATGTTTATATTTCCTTTATTGCAAATTTGGTTTAATTTAGATTTTTTTTTAAATTCTGTTAATAGCTTGCCAGACCCTGAAGTAGCCTCCTGGATGTAATAAAAGTTAGATTTACAGAGCAGGAGTTAAAAACTTTTAAAGTAAGTTAACATCTGATTGAAAGTGAAACCATTTTCTTTACATGCAGGCTGTGTCAGTCACAGCCTGGGGAGGTGAGGCTACGGCTGCAAAAGTGATATAACTCCTAAATGACAGAAAACCGAGCAGTGAAACTTCAGAAGCACGATCTATACACCAAAACTGCTTCATTAAGCTGAAGTTGTTTTGTTGACTGCTGTGTCCCTTTAACATTACTTATCTTTAGAACAGTGACTACATATCTACCACTCAGAGTAGCTCACTACTCTAACATC